CAAAACAATCCTAACGTTTGCCCAACAAATGGAAACCCAAACTAAATAATGATATATACGTAATTTCTAACTTAAACAATCCTAATGTTTGCCCAACAAATGACAACCCAAACTAAATAATGATATATATGTAATTTCTAACTTAAACAATTATAATGTTTACCCAACAAAAGGCAACCCAATTACAATAGATAAATATACTTACCATGACTTGGCTACACTTAGTGGTCACGTACCCCCCCCCCCTCGGAATCTGTAGATGCGGCATCTCCACTCGACCTCTTCTTATGCGTATAATCGAACAATTCCATAACAGTCGGGGACACGCCATCTTTTGCTCATGTCTACAAAGGTCAAATAATACAAACATGTGTTAATTATAACATATTAAAAATCAAGCTACTAAATTAATGGGTTTTAGGCTCTAACAGACGAGCACCATGCTCCGAAAATGGTATCGATCCACCGGTGTGTAGCGCAACTTGGCTATCACGGTTCTCACGCGCCACACCGGAAACAGCCTTCCAATTTTCAGTATTCCAATGATCGACCATCTGGATCCACACATCTGAAGATATCTAGCTGGGGGGATTTTCTTCAACACACTCATATCCCAGTGGGGGTCCGTTTCATCGTATTGAGGATACCCATTCATCTTTGTTTTTCCCCAGCTTTCTTCCTCGCGGCACTCATGTTGTCATTATATGGCTTGGCTGACTTTCTCTCCCATGTCTCAAGGATCTGGGCATCCAAAGCCGGATCCCAAGTGTAATAGCCCTGTACGTAAAAGTTTAGGCGATTTTTAGGTTCAAAACAATACATAAAATATAATAAGTTGAATATATAACACAAACCTGGAATCGCTCCCACATTCGGCGTCTCACGTCCTTTGGGATTTTTTCCCAACTGATCAATGGGCCGTCAAGCAGCTCTCGGTTGATCTTGGTGATCCGACGGATCACTTTGGTGTCACTGAAACTATATAATTACGAATTGAATTAGCATCAATACAAAAAATATATTTTTATCAATGAAAAGATGTAAATGTATTTACTCTTTGTCGCGGATGCCAATAACCGTCCGCTGTTGTGGAAGCGGCTCCGGAGCAGCACTACCACGACAAGACTCAATCTCCTTCGGATATTTATACAAAAAGGATAATGGTAACCCCACCATTAACTACTTCATTAGTACCAGTGCCACGGAAAGATATGTTTTAGAGTATCTCCATTAACTGATAAAATGATCTTGTCAGCATCGGTGTTATTTCCTAATTCATATAAATAGGGTTTTCAACATGGTTTTCATTCATTATTTTCATATTTCTCATTCTCTTTGTTTACGATTCTCTCTTTTCTTTGTTTACGATTCTCTCTAGATTGTCTCTTGAGTTCTTAGCTGTTTTAGCTATGTACTTGTATAGATCTAGGGTTTTTTTCGTTTTATATTCGTTTGTATGATATTCATATGAAATGTATGTTTGGTTTATCATTTTGAACAGTTTTTGGTGTCGGAATTGATTCGGGAAGAATTCAATGGGCTGCCAATGAACTTAATTGTAAGATTGGTAAGATCCCATGTAGATACCTTGGTATTCCCCTGGGAGATAGTATGTCTAACATTAAAGCTTACGACTGGATCGTGGATAAATTTCAACACAGACTTTTAAGGTGGAAAGCTAAACCTTTATCTGCTGGTGGGAGGAAAGTCTTGGTCCAAGCCATTTTGGAAAGCCTTGCTACATATTTCAGGTCCATCTTTAAAGCTCCCACTGCTGTTATTAACAAGCTGAAGAAAATGAGAAAGGACTTCTTTTGGGAGGCGGATGGTAATGATAGAAAATTGCTTGGGTTAAATGGGGATCTGTCATCAAAAGTTTAGATAAAGGTGGGTCTCAGGATGGGGAGTATTGTTGCTGCTAACATTGTTCTTCTAACCAAGTGGTTGTGGAAATTTAAATCAAACACCGTTCTATCTAGTCAAAGGTGGTGAAAGCTATACATGGGATGAATGGGGGTTCAACAATGACCAGAGTGTTCTCTGGCGGACAAGGTCAATGGTCCAATGTCATAAAGGCGATGGATTGGTTGCAGGTGAAAGGTATGTCTTTCAATGATCTTATGCTTAATTAGATTGGAGATGGCAAAAATACCTTGTTTTGGTATGATAATTGGATAGGGCATGGTGAATTAAAAGATCGTTATCCTAGACTTTTTGCACTCGATCAGTACAGCCTGACTAAGTAATCCCCATTTATGATGACCCTTTCAATGTGTGTTTGATGATATGGCTGCAGTGGACTGAATGTTCGATCAATTTGATCATCGGGCTTAGAAACAGGATCAAGTTTGCCTTGTACAGATTGCTTTTCAGGCAATCGATCTCCTCTCTTTGGACAATTCCATGCAAAATGACCCTTGTCATTGTACCGGTAACATGTTGGTTTCCGGACTCTTTTCACGTTGATCTCACAACCGTTGCTCCAATGTCGAAGGAGATTTGTGAGTTCCATACTTCTTCTAATACCTTGTAGATTTCTTATTCGAGTATTATGAAGCCTTCGAACAAATCCCGAAGTTCTTCCCATTCGATTTCTCCTTCGGCTCTGATACCACTGTTGATTGAAGGGCTTATTCAATAAACCCTCTTTAGATTTTGCTTCTGGGATTGATCCATCGGACTGTCTCTTTAAGAAACTCTTAGTTGCCATCGTTGAAGCAACAAACACACACAAATGAAAGATACAAGAAGTCTACAAGGATGTATTCTAGAAATGATCTTTATTGAAATATAGATACACACATACAAATGTCGATAGCCAATACATATAATATAGATTATGAACCGGTGCCTTTGAACCATTGTGATGGTTCAAATTTAACTACCAAATCAGTTAGGTAACTGCCATACAAGACTATGATGTGTCACTTGACACATTTTATTTATTTCATATAGTATTAATTTGTAATATATACTAATAAAACGTAAATGTATTTAATTCCAACAAATTTCGGGTGCAGAGAGGTCTTCGACAAGGCGATGCGTCAGCTCTGTTTCTTTTTATTGTTGCCATGGAAGGTGAGGTTGCAAGATAAAAATATGATAAAAGGAATTGAGGTCGGTCCGGAGAGGTACAACATCTCCCATTTATTCTATGTTGATGATGCTCTTTTCATCAACAAGTGGTGAACTGAAGAAGGAAAAAATTTCCTTCGAATCTTGAGATGCTTTTTCTTGGCTCCCAGGTTGAAACTAAATCTGGAAAAAAGTGACTTTTTTGGTGTCATAATCGATTCGGGAAGAATTCAATGGGCTGCCAATGAACTTAATTGTAAGACTGGTAAGATCCCATGTAGATACCTTGGTATTCCGCTGGGAGATAGTATGACTAACATTAAAGCTTACAACCGGATCGTGGATAAATTTCAATACAGTCTTTCAAGGTGGAAAGCTAAACCTTTATCTGCTAGTGGGAGTAAAGTCTTGGTCCAAGCCGTTTTGGTAAGCCTTGCTACATATTTCAGGTCCATCTTTAAAGCTCCCACGACTGTTAACAAGATGGAGAAAATGAGAAAGGACTTCTATTGGGGGCGGATGGTAATGATAGAAAAAAAATGCTTGGGTTAAATGGGGATCTGTCATCAAAAGTTCAGATAAAGGTGGTCTCGGGTTGGAGAGTATTGTTGCTGCTAATATTGCTCTCCTAACCAAGTGGTTGTGGAAATTTAAATCAAACCCACGTTCTATCTGGTCGAGGGTGGTGAAAGCTATACAGGGGATGAAGGGGGGGGGGGGTCAACAATGACCGAGTGTTCTCTGGCAGACAAGGTCAGTGGTCCGATGTCATAAAGGCGATGAATTGGTTGCACGTGAAAGGTATGTCTTTCAATGATCTTATGCATAAGCAGATTGGAGATGGCAAAAATACCTTGTTTTGGTATGATAATTGGATAGGGCATGGTAAACTAAAAGATCGTTATCCTAGACTTTTTGCGCTCGATCAGTGCAGCCTGGCTATGGTGGCGGATAGAATGGGAGAGGAAACTTCAATTGGGAATGGCGCAGAGATGTTAGTGACGGAAGAGAAGCTGAAGATTTATTGCAGCTGTCTAGGAATTTGGGAAAATTTCTCTCAATTCCTTAGCCGATAAATGGAAATGGAGTGGAGTCTCACTGGTGACGGAGAATTTTCTGTTGGTTACGACAGTGTATATATTCTTGCATTCTAAATTTGCGTTACTATTTCCAGCACCATTTCTCTGTGTATGATTCTGAAAATATTTATCTCTTCATATTTATATCAAAAACAACTATATATAATAAAGCCATCGCTACATTTGTCCGATGTACACATATTATACACTACTAGAAAAACAGGTATCAGCAACGAACATCAGCGAGGGAAAATATCCCACCCAGATCAGCGAGGGAAATCCCAAAAAACTAAATCCTTCGCTATTCCCTCGCTGATCTGCGAGGGAAATGTTCCGTCGCTGATCCCTCGCTGATCAGCGAGAGATCAGCGAGGGAATTGCCAAAAAACTCATTCCCTCGCTGATCCCTCGCAGATCAGCGAGGGATCAGCGACGGAAAATTTCCCTCGCAGATCAGCGAGGGAATAGCGAGGGATTTAGTTTTTTGGGATTTCCCTCGCTGATCCCTCGCTGATCTGCGAGGGATCAGCGAGGGAAATACCAAAAAAAACTTTCCCTCGCTGATCTGCGAGGGAAATTTCTTCTACAAAATCCCTCGCTGATCCCTCGCTGATTTGTGAGGGATCAGCGAGGGATTTTTCTATTTTTCCTATTTTCTCATTTTTATGTATTATATGTACATATTTTTATATGTTGATATCGTATGTATGCATGTCATGTGTTGTTTGTGTGT